TTGGCAGTAAGTACACAGCTGGGTCACCGCCCTGGGGAAGGTGACTGGGACCCTCAGTGCACGAGCCTCTTTGCACGTCCTGGAAAGAGCTGGAGAGAGAAGAAGGGGCTTTGCTGCCCCCACTGAGCCCAGGGGCCTCCCCACCCCTCCTCTAATCACGCCACATTTGCTTTCCCCCTCCTCACTGCCTCCTGCCTGTCTCCTAATTTCTCCCCTCCAGCCTCTTGGCCAGTGCTGCTTTGGAAAGGTCCCCTTCCGCACCCCCAGGTGAACTCCCCGCTTCTCCCTCTCCTGTCAGGCAAGGGGGGGTGACCTTCCCCAACCAGTGGCAGAATCCCCACCCCCACCTCCCTGGGGCTGACCGTGGGGTTTGGCCTCCCTCCGGGCAGCCTGAAGCTGTCACCTCTGCAGCCGCTCCCCTGCAGTGAGGCTGGGGGAGGTAAGTCCGCATCTTGATGCATCCAGGTCAGCTCAGGTCCCAGAGCAGTCAGACCATCTGAGTCGGGGAGTCCTGAGAACTCAACAGGGAACGTGAGGGAGGGTGGGAGGGTGACGGACAGACTGTCATGAGTCACCATCAAGTACTCACAGCACCGGGCATCGGCTAAGCAGGACACTTGGATTATGTCCTTTCCTCCTTCCAGCTCCCGCCCCCCGGACAGGTAGGTATTGTCACCTGCTCTGAGATGCGGCAGGAGAGGACTTGACAGAGTCAAACCGCCAGCTAGCGGCAGACCCCCCCCCACATCTCAGAAAGGCTTCCGGGGGCGCGGCCTCCCTCCTCCAGGGCTCTTTAGGCCCACACTCGCCCCCAGGTGGCTCCCTGCTGGGACACCAGTGGACAGAGAGGGGGCCAGAGGAGGCTGGATCTGGTGGGGACACCTGTCCACTCAGTGGGGTCGTAAGTAAGTTGCTCCTCTGTGTTTCGGTCCCCCACCGACCCCCCACCCTCTCTTACTTTTCTCATCTCTCACCAGGCATCAGCAGGTCCCAGAAAGACCCCGTCCCCCAAGTCCCCTGTGGCCACTGTGGCCACGAGGGTGGACCCCACCACTCCTGCCCCCTCCACGTCCACTGCTGGGGCCCCCGTGGCCCCCAGCACCCCACAGCCCACAGGTGGGTACCCAGGTACAGCCCCAGCTGCCCTGCCCTTTCCCGCTTCTTGCCCGAGTCCCCGCCTCTCTCTGTGATGTATGATGTGGGAGGCATCAGCCCCGGGGAGGGCAGGGGCTTGGCTTTTAGTGTAGAGAAGGCTAGAGCTGCAGAGCCAGAGCCGCCAGAGCGTGAGGCCAGGAGGCCTCCAGGCCGTCTGGATCCACCTGTCATGGGGCCCCAGCCAGGGGATCCAGGGCTCACTTCAAGGTCCTAAATCCTCTTCCTCCTGCGCTGCCCCAAGGCACTGCTCAGGAGGACCCCAGACAGGTGTGGCCAAAAGGACAGGGTGTGACCTCGGAGGATGGGGCCCTGTGGCTGGAAGGCCACGTAAAAGTTCCCTCAGAGCTGGGGCCTGTCTCCCAGTGATGTTCCTGCCTCCAGGGAGCCAGCCCAGCTCCACCCACACCCAGCTCTGTCCCCACCGCCCCTCAGCAGCCCGCCCCTAGAAATTAGGGGGTGCAGGGTCAGCCAAGAAGGCTGATTCCTCAGATCAGCAAGGCAGAAGGGAACCTCTGAGCTGGGGTCCTCAGATTACAGACTGCTGGGCCTTTCAAGACTGAGTGTGGGGGGCAGGGCCAGGCCAGGGGTGTGTTCAAGGCTTGGGGTGTGGGGGTGGCTCTCTGGTGTCACCTCGGGTCACCTTGGGAGTCCCACAAGACCCTGCCTACTGCAGGTGCCAGGAGTCCGAAAGGATTCATCCTTCCCAGAGGGTGCCAGGAGGATGTGGCCAAGGGCAGTTCCTCCTGGTCCCACCAGCCAGGAAGTGGTACCCCAACAGTGACCCCCACCCTGTCCCCACCTGCCTCTGCGCGGGGGGGATGACACTGTGGGGGCTCCTTACTATTTGGGCAGTGCTGTGGCCTTCCTCTCTCTGATGCTCAGGGACCCTGGGAGGGCC